TGCATACGCGACTACACGGTCGCGACCATCCACCGATTGCATAAGGCATGCTCCGACGGCCAGATGTGAAGAGTCCACATAAAGTTTGAACTTCTTCGTAAAATCTGGGTACACTAGAATCGGAGGCCTTACTAACGCCTGTTGTAGCTGCAGGAACGCTCCCTCGCAATCGCTTTCCAGCGAAACGCGACGCCCTTTTGTTTTAAGCTTTCCAACGGAGCAGCAATCGCGGCGAACCCAGGAATGTACCGTCTAAAGTAGCTGGTCAACCCCAGGAACGCTCTCAACGTGTGGATGTCGTGCTGCGTAGCGATGTTCATCACTGACTTCACTTTCTCGGGGTTAGGCAAAATGCCGGACGGAGTCACTATGTGGCCCAAGAACGCCACTTGGCTACGTCCCCAATGGCACTTCTTAATCTTCAGTTTGAATCCCGCTTCTCTGAAGCCTTCCAACACTTGCCTGACGCGCACCAAATGAGTCGAAATGTCCTTGCTAAATACCACGCAATCATCCAGGTAAACCAGGCATGTTCGCCACTTAAGATCCACTAACACGTTCTCCATCAGTCCTTCGAATGCCGGAACGGCGTTACACAACCCGAACGGCATCACTAACCACTCAAATAACCCGAACTTGCTCGTGAACGCAGTTTTCTCCACACGATCCGGACGCATCGGCACATTCCAGTAGCCAGAAGCAATATCCAAAGTCGAGAATAACCGAACGTTCCCTAGAACGTCCAATATGTCGTCGATCAAAGGCATAGGATAGCTATCCTTGATCGTCACTGCGTTTAGTTTCCGATAATCAATACAAAACCGTATCCCTCCGTCGGGTTTCCGTATCATTAGGACAGGGCTGGCCCACGGGCTTGTAGACGGCCTGATCAGATTCAGCTCCAAATATTGCTGCAACTCGGCCTCCATCATATCGCCCTCTGCCTTAGACACTCTGTACGGTTGTTGTTGGGTAGGCCCATGCGTTCCCGTGTCGATCTTAAACTCGAGAAGATCCGTACGACCTGGTCGCTTCGACGTTTCCACGAATAGATCTCTGAGTTCCCACAGCATCGACTTGAACATGGAACGCTGCTCTTCATCGAGGTCTGAGTC